GTATTGTATATCTCATTTATGCTGTATGAAATAAAAATAAATAAATAAATTTATTTATTTTCATGTAGGGAGACGAGAATAGAAAGAATAAAAGTTGAGCAAATAAAAGAATATAATAATGGGAATAAAAGAATACAATAATGAACGAGCAGCGAAAGAGAGAGAGAGAACGAATGAGGAGCAAGCGAGATAGCTAACATGAAAGATTTCCGAAGTTTCGCTCGCGAGGCTCGCTTTATCTATTAATCTCTCGCGTTATATATCGTTGTTCAGGAAATATCGCTCCCTTTTCTCAATCTTTGCACCGGCATCTCACTTACTCTAGTCCTTCTCTCTAGCATTCTCTCTCTCTTCCTTTTTCCTCTTGTACGCGGCCGCGACCCAATCCCGCAGCCTGTCCTATAAATCTAACTAGTCTCGCGCAATGTTATCACCCAATCATAAGCACGCTCTCAGGACCTTATCCGCGCTCCTGCGTCGATATCGACCCTTCCGGAAATCCTCGATCATTCTGTGAGTACCGGTCTATCGTGACGCACGTTGCCTTTAGAACAGTTTTACGCTCTCTGAATATTCGGTTTAGATTCTCGTGGCTCTGCTCAAGTGAACTCTAATACGGTTGTCTCAAACGGTCATTGTCATCTCCCGGAAATTAACAGCATCAAATTAAAGAATCATACGCGCGTGAGGTGTGTGCTATCCCGTCTCGGGACACCGGGGCCTTGTACGCAGTTATCGTGTGAAGCACGCGGTACGTCGTAAATCGACGTAATATTCTCTTGCAACCTCTCTCGAATTCCTCGGCGGATTCCTCGGTTTTTTCTCAAATACAAACTATAAAACTATTGCATATGGTCCTAGAATAATACGAATTAGTGTAATTATAAGAATAAAGCGAGATATCATCGCTCGAATAATTGTGAAGTGCGGCTCATATTTCTTTGTGTGTGAATCATTGACTGTTCTGCCCGACACCCCCGAAACCAGACATTTCTCGGGTTCTTTACTAAACACATATATTTATAATTTGTTATTATACTGTAGAGTTTTCAATAAGTTCTTCAAAGAATGTATTTTTTCTTCTTTTCTCGTTAGCTTCTCCTTCAATGATTTAATTGTCCTCCACATTTTCTTTTTTCGTGGACTCATTTCCTGCTTCTTCAAATTTAAAAGCGAACTGTCCATGATTTTCCTCGGCTTTCGCATGGTCATTTTAATGGTATCAACAATAGCACTTGTGCTGGCAGATTCTGTATTCAGCGATGAAATAGGCATAATCATAGCAGGAACAGGAGTAGTGCCAGACTCAATTGCAGAAGTAGTGACATCCGGAGTAATAGTAGGAGCAGGAGCCTCAAAAAATATCGAAGGCACAGCAAGATTTTTTAAACGCACGCCGCTTGCGTTAGGTCTTTCCATAAAATCTGTAGCTACAAAATGAGCACTACAGATTAAATGGCTTTTCGTTGGTTTAAAATTATTTCTTCCAATAGCATTGATCCACATTTTTAAAATATCCGAACGATTCAAAGGAAATCTGTAATACAATTATAATTTACAATTTTACAATTAAATTTACAATTTTTTAATGAACTTTTAATAAAAACTGAATGAACCATTTTTTGATGAATTGATCTTACCATTTTTAATTAAAAAATATGATATATATTTTTATATGATATATATTTTATTGAAATAACCTTCAAATATTATAAAATTCGAATATTTATTAAAAATGAATGCATTTTACTTATAAAATGAAAACTAATAAATGAAAACCATTTTTTGTAGTATTTTTGCATTTCGGAATGCAACAACTGCTCGGCATCTTTCCAGAATTTTCACAATTACAAATTCACAATTCAAAAAATAAATTTAAATTATGAAAAATTAGAAACTAAATAAAATAAAATTCAATAAAGATAAATAGATAAATTAATTATAAGCAATAATAATTTATAATAAGGTAAATTTAAATTCACAATTTAAATATCGGGTATCACGTACGCACAAATACTAATACACGTCGGGTATCACATACACGCACTACACACGCATCGCCGCCATTTTATTGTAAGGTGTCATGGCCGAAAGCGGAAATCCGGCTGGCCACAGCTTTTCATATGTCAAAGCCCGAAGTTAGCGATATAGGTTTAGTATAGACATCTGTGGTTAATATATAATAACACATTAATGTGTAATATATATAGATAAATCTAAATAATTTAATTCATGAAATTAAAGATTTTATTTATACGGAAGTTAACTTCTAATTTTATCTTAAGTAGACAATAATGAATGACTTTCATTTATTTGGACACTTTATGTCCGATCGGGCATTTATCTGTCCAATTTTCCAAAAATCAGTTCAATATCTGAATTTTTTTAT